TAGGAATCTCCGCTCCTCAGGAGCCAGCCTAGGAGGTCGCTCCTTCCGGAGGTCTTGGCGTCGTCCGCCTCGCGAGGCTTGGCCCCTCGTGAGGGTCTTGTCTTGTTGATGCTGAAAGTGCGCCATACCAGGTTGTCGATGAAGCCACGTTGTGGGCCGCGAGCAGGCAAGTCTGGGTACCCTGGTTCTTAGAACACCGACAGAATGGTTCAAGTGCTTCTATTTGTGGTGTTGGTATGGTCGATCTGAAGTTCACTTCGGGGAAGATCGTGCGGCTGGAGAACGTGCATTATGTCCCCTCTGTCAATAAAAATCTTGTTAGCGGATCTCTTCTGTGTAGAGATGGCTACGAGCTTGTCCTTGAGTCGAATAAATTTTTAATATCCAAGTATGGAACTTCTGTTGGTAAAGGCTATGAGTCAGGAGGCCTGTTCCGTTTATCCTTGTCAGATGTTTGCAATAAAGTTGTTAATCATGTTTTCAACAATAGTGAATCAAATGTGTGGAATTCACGTCTTTGTCATGTGAACTTTGGTTGCATGTCGCGACTAGCCAAGTTGAACTTAATCCCTAGTTTCACCACTGTCAAGGGATCTAAGTGTCTAGTTTGTGTGCAAGCTAAACAACTAGTAAGTCTCATACGACAGAGCGGAAACAAGAAATCTTGCGCCACTTGAACTCATACATTCAGATCTTTGTGAAATGAATGGTATTTTGACAAAAGGTGGAAAGAAATATTTCATGACGTTAATTGATGACTCCACTAGATACTGTCAAGTGTATCTTTTGAAATCAAAAGATGATGCTTTGAAAATTTTCAAAATCTATAAAGCTGAAGTGGAAAACCAACTTGTTCGTAAAATCAAGAGGCTTAGGCCCGATCGTGGTGGAGAGTATTTTTCAAATGAATTTGATTCTTTTTGTGCGGAACATGGTATAATCCATGAGAGGACGCCTCCCTATTCACCTCTGTCAAATGGGGTAGCCGAAAGAAAGAACCGTACTCTATCTGATTTTGTTAACGCCATGTTAGACACACCGGGTCTCTCCAAGGCATGGTGGGGGTAGGCGATATTGACTGCATGTCATGTCCTAAACCGAGTTCCCACAAAGAACAAAGAGATAACTCCATTCGAGGAATGGGAGAAGAAAAGGTTGAAACTCTCTTACTTACAAACTTGGGGCTGCTTGGCGAAAGTCAATGTGCCAATTCCAAAGAAGCACAAGCTTGGACCAAAAACTGTGGATTGTGTTTTCCTTGGGTATGCTTTTCATAGCATTGGTTATAGATTCTTGATTGTAAAAACTAAGGTACCAGACATGCATGTTGGTACAATCATGGAGTCGAATGATGCGACTTCCTTTGAAGATATCTTCCCATGAAGGATATGGGTACCTCATCAAATCAGGAGTTGCCTAGTTCATCGAGTCGGGATGTAGTTACAATTTCTGAACCTAGCACTCCGATGCAACATATTGAAGATCTTGTGGAGGACAATGATGAGACTCCTAAAAGGAGCAAGAGATAGAGGACTGGAAAGTCCTTTGGTCAGATCTTGAGTCGCTTTGGCTATAGTGACTTCAAGCCCTCTCCAACGCCATATGATGCTAGCGTGTTGCTTCGAAAGAATCAAAGAATTGCTAGAGATCAATTGAAATATTCTCAGATTACTGGCTCGCTTATGTACTTAGCCAGTGCTACAAGACCTGACATCTCTTTTGCTGTTAGCAAACTGAGCCGACTTGTCTCGAAACCATGAGATGTGCATTGGAAAGCTCTAGAGAGAGTTATGCGTTACTTGAAAGGCATTGTGAGTTATGGAATTCACTACACTGGGTACCCGAAGGTACTGGAAGGGTATAGTGACTCAAATTGGATCTCTGATGCTGATGAGATAAAGGCCACGAGCGGTTATGTATTCACTCATGGAGGTGGTGTTGTTTCTTGGAAGTTTGCAAGCAGACCATCTTAACGAGGTCAACAATGGAAGCAGAACTCACAACACTAGATACAGCTACGGTCGAAGCATATTGGATTCGTCGGCTCTTGAATGACTTGCCAGTTGTTGAGAAACCTGTACCGGGTATCCTTATGAACTGCGACAACCAAACTATGATCGCTAAAGTGTGCAGCTCAAAGGATAACATGAAGTCATCAAGACATGTTCAGAGAAGGTTAAAGTCTGTCAGGAAAATGAAAAACTCCGAAGTTATTGCGTTGGAGTATATCCAAACATCTAAAAATCCGGCAGATCCTTTTACTAAGGGTCTATCACGTAATGTGATAGATTATGCATCGAAGGAGATGGATAATGAGACCTACAATATAAGTTGTTCACAGTGGTCCTAGTGCATGTGATCGAAGATCCCGTGGATTAGATGTGGAAGACAAGTTGTTGGTTAACTGAGAGGAGAGTATCCTTACTATTAACAATACCACTCCATGAAGATGCAATACTCTCCTAATCTGCATGGCAGGTTGATGTATATCTTAGTGTGTTCTAAGCGACTCATTTAAGCAGAGATGTCGTCCTGCAGAACATCTTTTGAAGAACACACCTATATGAATTTGATTGTTAAACGTCGCAATCTATGAGAGTAGGGTGCTCTATAGTAAACTCATGAAATGTATCAGAGTATGACGCATAAGCTCCACCCGCGGGAAAGTCCCACAGTAGCCTAGTATTGGTCAAGGCTTTGTGTGAAGCAAGATTCGCAGAAAACTTGCAGTTCAAGGCATAGTCCACTGTTCAAGTTACTTACTAGTGTAGCATAGAGTTCTAGGTGAAAGTTCAACTTAACAGTCTCCACTACAGTATCGGTATATAAAACAGTGTCTTGAAACCAAAGGCGAATTTTGTGTGTCTCTGGGATCTGGTGGAGGATTGCTGGAATTTAGTCTATTTTGGACAGCCCAATAGCAATTTCAGAAATTCCTAATAAATCATAGAGGCCCACTTAGCCCGTTCGTGCAAGGAAAGGGGTGCTACTAAAGTTCAGTCTCACATTACTAGTTTGGTAGGACTTGGATCTCCTTATAAGGGAGGTTGTTTCCCCACATGTATGAGCATTAGAACAAGAGAGACGTACACACGCACTCCTCCTCCGCCGCCCGCCACGCCCCGTCATGCCGCGCCGCGGGTTGCGGGAATGAGCCGAGCTGATGTCTAAATTTTTGCCACACATGACTGGTATACGAAAGGTTAGATAGGAGCTGAAATGATTTTTGCTATAGTGGAGATTGAATCCAAATGGTGCATCCCTTCGGCTACTGGTTGTTCGCTTCATCTCCCTCTCTTCGTTTCACCTCCCGTCGCTGCCGATTCGCCTCCTTCTCGTGTGCCTATATAAGAGAGGTCACTCATCTCTAGAGAGACACATCAGAACATCATCTTCCTCTCGCCACCGAGTCCCTGAGCACTGAGCTACTGCTACGATCTTTCCAATCCCGGCTTGCGGCGTGCACCGCAGGTCGGGACAGTAGGCCTCCGAAACCCCACCTCTTTGAGTCCTATACGGGAGAAGGGTGATAAGGTTTTTGGGGAGCGCTGCGCGACTACTGATCGATTCATCACTAACGCTCCGGACACCGACGACCACTTCCTCAATAACGACTTATTTCCCGACGTCGACAACCTCTTCGACGACATGGCTGGCGAGGGCACCGACCCCAAGACCGGTGCTTCGGCCGTTGCTCCGTACGTCTTCTGGTTCTCTCTGTTTGAGATCATGCTACAATTTCTTGCACTTGCTTTTCTTGTTCCACCCTCTGTTCTACATATATTCTGTTCTAGTTCGTATGTACAAATGTTGTTTGCCTTCATTCTGCTAGATTACATGACTTGTTTCATCCCTATTATAATAGTCATGTTTTATCTACTATTTTTGTTAATAAAGTCATATGATAAATTGCTCATGTTTCAACAAAGCAGACAAAAAACGGATGTCCGTTTGGATCGCCGCGTCGGGTTGCTCTAAGATTGCTTTGATGGCACGGCTTTTGGCTCCATGGTGCTGGGTGGTGTGGCGCACTTTTCTTTCTTTTGAGGAGCTAGGGGTGATTAAACGAGGTGGTGACCACCGAAAAAAGAGTGCACGCATGCATGCGTACAGTATTTATTTTTTTTCGAAGGCCGGATGCGTGTATTTTACTCCCGGTGGAGGTCGAGTCGTAACTAGCGCTGAAATTGCTGCCACTGAGAGGGTGTTTGGATACTCTCTAGTCATGTGACTAGTAGTAGTCAGACTAGAAGTTTTTAGTCAGACCCTGTTTGGAAGGTGACTACTACTAGTCAACATTAAATGTCTCAGTATTAAATGCCCCTTGTGCAACACCAATTAGAGGAGAGAGAGAGGGGGACTTTAGTCAGTAAAAGTCAGGGGTGTTTGAAGGTTTACTGACTAAAGGTGACTACTACTATTATCTAGTCAGTAAAAGTTGGGGATGAGGTGACTAGGGACTAAACTAGTTTTAGTCACCCACTAGTCAGGGGTGTTTGGAGGTTTACTGACTAAAGGTGACTACTACTAGTCTCTAGTCTCTAGTGATCCAAACACCCTCTGAGTGACTTGTTTGTGTTTCTTGTGTTTGTGCTTTGCCCTTTCCTCTCCTCTCCTCCTCCTGCAGCTTAATTAATGACAAGCTGCTGCTTCTGCACTAGTGGAACACGCGCCCCACACCCCTCCGCATTAATGAATGAATGGGTGAGCGTCCCGAGTGAGTGACAAGTGATGAGAGAGAGAGAGAGAGAGCAACGGGACGACAGGGAAAAAGCGAGCGAGCGAGCAAACAAAAGCGACCAGCTAGCTCCGGCAGCACCCCCACTACGCCCCCTCTGGCCAATCTACTCCACTTCACTCCACTCCACTCCACTGTAAATCTATCTGTGTGAGGGAAGCAAGGAATTTGAAGTCGACATGAGGAGCTAGGGTGAGAAGCGAAGCAAGCAGGCGACGCAAGATCGACAGCCCTCACCACTCTCACGGTGCTAGGAGGGACGATGCCGCTCCACCTGCTGCTCCTCCTCCTGCTCCTGCCGTCCGCCGCCGTGGCCGGCAAGGCCCGTCAGTCCTCCTCCTTCGCCCTCGATTTCTTCCCTGGCGACGGCGCCATCGCGCAGCTCGCTCTCACCGGCGCCAATGCCACCTCCGCCGGCGACATCTCCATGCGCTCCCCGCGCGCCCGGGTACAGTACCACAAACCCATTCACTTCGCCCCCGCCGCCGCCGGCTTCTCCACCTACTTCTCCTTCTCTCTCCACCCTATCCCCAAATCTCACGCCGCCTCCATCGCCTTCTTCCTAACGCCCGCCGCGCCCGCGCCCTCGCCCTCACCCGCCGTTAACGCCCTCGCCCTCGCCATCGTCTTCGCCGCCGCGGACTCCAGCCACATCCGAGTCCAAATCGACCTCGCCGGTGAAACGGCCGCCCAGACCGCCCCCCGCGGCATCCCCAAAAAGCTGCATTCATGGATAGACTACAACGCCACATCCGCCACGCTTCAGGTCCGTCTCTCTGCCTCGCGCCTCCCCAAGCCGCCGCACGCGCTGCTCTCCCACCCGCTCCATCTCCACTCCGCCCTCCTCCTCCATCTCCTCCGCAGCAAGCCCATGCTCGCCGGATTCGCTTCCTCCCACGCCAACTGCAGCCTCTTCAGCTGGGCCTTCAGGGCCAACCACGGGCCTCCCTACCTCATGCACTCCCAGCCACTCAATCCCACCGGCTTATCGCTCACCACGCCGCCGCCAGACCGCCTCCTCCGCGCTCCCCCGGGCAACCGCTACCCCTGGGCTTCGCTGCTGTTGGCGGCAGCGTGCGGCGCCGTCTTCACATTCGTCGTGCTCTTCGTCTGGTACTCCATGGGGAAGCGCCGGCCGGTCGCGCCGGTGGAGTACCCCATGCACCCGTCCTCCTCCGACATCGTCTACGAGAAGATTGTGCTGGTCGGAGTCAAGGACCTCCCTGCCGATGTCACCGCAGCTGCTCACAAGTAGCCGCTGTCCTCTAGATTCTACTGCAAGTGTGCTCCTGTAACTGTAAGTAGGAAATTGTTGCTAGTAAGTGCGGTGGAAAATGCAGATTTTGCGGGCAAAGCGAACAACGCAAATTCTGCACTTCCCACCGGGATTAGGATTCGATTGCTCTTTCTAAATTGTAACTTGTCAGTTGTCATGCCATCCACCACTGCTACCACTTCTTCTTTGTATGCTTATTAGTCATGCGTGCCCTAGTACTATTCAAGAGCCCATCCTATCATCTCTAATGGACAGAGTAACATGGTGTTTGTTTTTTCGGCGAATGCACATAATATAGCTGATGACAAATTGAGGCATGATATATTAGTTCGCAGTTTGTTCAAAAAATATAGCTAAAATTTCACAACTCCACCCGATTTCTGCTCAATCCCCAGATACTGAATGCATCCACCGAGTTCTTTAGTGACTGCTCCTCCTCAATTTATGCGCTTGTGCTTTGCAGAGTTGCTTGCTTTGGTGATTGCTCCCCCTCAATAATGCACTTGTGCTTTCCAAACGCACTTCACCACTGCTGTTTAATTTACTCCTGCATTAGTAGATTCGGAGTTTCTTCTTCGGCAGCTTCAACTTGCGGGAGACTCTTGTTGCAGTTTGGTGGCATGGGTCTGTGCCAAGTTGCTTTAACAATATGCTGCTAGGTGCAATTCAGTTGGCCAAAGCCACTTTGCATTAATATTGGAGATGTGCACGAGAGTGCTGAAATCATTATGGGAGATCTAGGTGCATGCTATATGCCCATTGCTACTTTCAGTTAGGAGCCACTAGCTGTATTATGGCATCCAGGATTCCAGGGTTTGCTTTACTTTTAGGTTAGTTGTATCCTGGAACCTCATGTGTTTTTGGCTGACCAGTTGCATCTTGAAAAATGTAAAGACGACAAGTTATTATGAAATATATGATCATTTTTTGCAATGTTGAGGATATCGCTTATCGTTGGCATCTAGGTTAGCTGGGGATTAGAGATTAACCAGAAATCGGCCGATTAATTGATTTTATCGGTCAACTATTAATCGGACATTTTTTTTTGCAAATCCTAGGTTCCCAACACTAAAATATGATATATTCGACACCAAAACAATATTGGACACAAGTGTTACCTGTGATTCCTTTTGAATCACGGTATAATGACAAACAAAATAGGACAATGGTACATATTGCGTAACAAGGTCCACAAAACACAAATAAAAGATAGCTTTTGCAAACATAGTGCTATGAATAGGCCTGATTTATCGGTAGATTCCCGATAAATCGCTTCTCAGGGTGATAAATCGGCCCAAACGATAAACGTGAAGATAAGGCATAATCTTATCGGTCACCCCAAAAGTAGCGATAAATCGGACGATAAGTCACTGAACCGGAAGATTTTCTGAACAGTCATTTTTAGTAATAAATTCATTAGTTAGCTTCAGCTTTTCAAACGCACTTCACCACGGATGAATTATTTATTCTCTCTATCATTTGAATATACTTTATTAGTAGTACTATGGTAAATATCATTGGAGTCTATATCCAATATACTAGTGCCTAAATAGTTTGTCCCACTATCTCTACTTCTCACAAAATGCACACATGCCACCTCATTATCCCACCTATATAGTTTATCCCACCTATATAGTTTATCCCACTATCTCTTACCGAAATAACAATTGCTCTACGGTATTTTTATAGACATAATCGCAATAATATGTACATGCAAAAGAAAGAAAGAAAAAGAAAGCAACAAAAACTTATCCAATTCCAGGCTTTGGGGATCATCAATTGATATAAAAAGTTCTTAATCGTCTGGTGTCATGACCCTAGGTGAGACCAAATCTAGTCCTTTAAAACTGTCAAACTTTTCTGCTTAATCGTGTATTCACGAAGTGCAAGATCTTGCTTGAGCATGAGTTTCCAAGTGCTTGGGTTTCTTTGAGCCCATATATGCCAACAACCTACTGAATATGATTATGTCCAACGCATTGGGTTTGGGCAGATTCTGGGATTTGTTCGCTGTGACGGGTGCCTTTTAGAGTTTGCTTTCAGTAATGGGGCCTTTTAAGATTGTATTTTAGAGTTGGCATGAACAAATTCTTGTCGTTTTAGAGCGGAAGAGATATCTGAAATAATCCCGTGGAGTACTCATGGTAGTGCCTCCGCCTGGTTCTCTTGTCCATCCCGTTGGCTGCGGTCCAACTCCTGACCCCCGCGTCGCCAACCCTCGGCGACACGGGGGAGATCGCGCCGCTGCGCCCTAGGCCTTCTATCTCCGATCTCCCTTTCCCGCTGCCGACCGAGTTCACGCCGGCGAAGCTCGGGCTGTGACGGCGGCGGCGGGGTCTTCTCCCTTGCACGCGATGGCGTCTTCCTCTAGTGGCGACGACATGGCCACTCCGGTGATTCGGCGGCGTGGTGTGGCGGGATCCCGGCGAAGGATGTGGCGGCGACAACGGCGGCGCGGCCTCCAGCGACGGAGGCGCCCCTGTGGCGGTCGTCGGAATCTCGGATCTCACCGGGCCCGGTTGGGCTTAGGCGGGCCGGCGGATCTGGTGCGCGGCGGCAGGCTGGCGCGGTGGGCCTGACGTAACCGGCTGCTCTGGCACCGTGGTGGTGCCGTGGCCGGTCAGGCGGCGGCGGCCGGTTCCTTTTGGTTCGGTCCCCGACATAGAAGGTGGTGATCCGTGCACAAAAAGCTGGATGGAGTTCTTTGAACAAATCTAAGTGAAAACCTGCTCTCGCCTAGATGCCAAGGCCGGTGATGGCGGCGCTCTTCGGTATCGTTCCCTTCTTGGAGGCATCGCCGTGGAGAAGTTCTAGGTCAACATCTACTACCTCTCCGGCAAAAAAACATCTACTACCTCCGGGGGGAAACCCTAGATCAGTAGATCGGAAGACGGCGGCGCTCTTGTGTCGTTTTCCCCTGGGGGCGTCGTTCTTAGAGGTGTGAATGGACTCAGGGGACCAGTGGACCATAGCTTTGGTGGAGCGGTGCTTCATCCTACACATTGATGGCGACGGATCTTGACAGCGTGGCGCAGTGCAGATTCGATGGCGGATGTGCAGGGATGGACTCGCGCAGGAGGATGACGTTGTCCGGCGTCGTGGTGGCGCCGATGGCAGAGAGGCCTGACACGGTCGACGCGTCAGTTTCTGCTCTGAAGATGGATCGATGGAAGACGATGGTGCCGGGCCTTGCAGGGTGCGTATGTGACCGGACCGGTGTGTGACCCAGTCCCGATATGTGGCTAGGCTGGGGCATCCGGCGTTAGATGTTAGGCTTTGGTGCGACGTCTGTTTGGTATGAGGCTCGGACATTCGACACTTTACTCTGTAAGATCTTTGTGAATAATTAATAAAATGGTTGCATGTATCATTCAGATACAGAGACGAGGTACATAAAGAAAAACCATTGGCTGCGGACAGGCAGACAGGGTATATGATGCTGCTTGCTGTACTAACAAAGACTCATCATTTAATGAGGAGATTTGTACATGGGTTATTGGTTGTGAGAGTGTCAAGTGGACAGACTTAGCTTAGCTACGTACGTGATTAGGGGCAGAATCGAACAAGAGAGATATTTGCATTGCGGTGCTCGTGTCGCTGATTGGAACGAGACACGAGAAAAGGATGTTGCTGATGCTTTTAGGAGTCGTCAGCTGAATCTTGCATAGTTAAAGCTTTTTTCATTTGTTTGGTTAGCAAAAAGGCAACAATATTAGGCTGGTTGTAATGGTAGTATCATAGTTAGTATCATGCATGCCAACTGGGCAATTTTGATGAGGTGTCGTAGCATTAAATGAAGAAAGAGAGGGTGTAGTATCATATCATGATACCGTATCATATTAAATGCTATGCTACTTTGTGTCATGCATGATAATAAATAGAGTACTACATAATACTAATATATGATACTATGCATTAGGGAGGTAGTATCATATACTAGTATCATATGCATGATACTAGTATATGATACTCCCCATTACAACCAGCCTTATGTTGCCGTGCACGCCATTATGATTATGGCCACAGGAAAATGATAAAAACTGTTGATCAATCAGTGGGATTTTATCGCATTCGGAGGGGGGGGGGGGATTTTTAGGGCGCGTTTGATAGGTGGCATAGAGGCCAGCTTGGCCCGTGCAGGAAGAAACTGAGCTATTTGGTTGTCTGTGTTCACCGTTGGACCTGCATCGTATGGAACTTAAAGCACCAAGCCTGCTAGGAACGTTCAAATCGGCAATTTTTTCATAGCTAGCTCCGCAGGATGCACGTGGGCGCCGGCAGCTGCACACGAGGAGCCATGCTCAAGAAGCCACGTTGTTTCCCGAAGCACCGACAATAATTATCCTTACCGCTCTCTCTTCACTCTACCACTCTCACACCCGAGGTGGTAGCGATCAGCGGATCGGAGAATAGCAAGGCGACCACCGGCCTCCATCATCGCCGTTAGCAACATCACCCGCAGCACTTTAGCAATGACGGTACACCCTATTTTCACGTTCTAACTTACTATTTCGCATTCGATCCGCGTTTAGATTCGATCCGCGTTTAGATTCGATCCGCATAACCCATCCTGTTCTAGGGGAATGGGGAATCGGGGTAAATAGCCATAGAATTGATCATAACTTCACGATGAGTACTAAGTAGCGATGGATTTTAGGGTTCTGTTCCGAATTGAGTACAAGGTGAATGGGGATTGGGGGTTAATCTTACACAGTAGCTTCAAATCATAGCCCCGGCGATCCTGGAGACGCTTGGAGCGGCGGGGACCCTTGGCCTTGTTGTTGTCCTCCGCCTGGTCCATAGCATGCATCGTCTCGTCGTCCTCACCATCGTCCATATTGATTGGCAAAGTACGGTGGCCAGGCTCCGACGCCCTAACCACCACCTCCACCGCTTCTTCTTCCTCCTCCGGCTCCAAAGCGATGACCTCCGGCGCCACCAAGGTCCTATTCCACAAAGTTGCGGCATGCTGGTCTTGA